CCGAAGTCAAGTGATTTTCACGGGAGTTAGATGATCTTCATATTAGATTGCACCCAGTGTGACATATCGTCGGACTGTTAATTAAAACTAACAATTAATTCACATATCGTACAGTCACAGTTCCGAAAGAATATCTTCTTCCCGAAATCAACCGCCGTGCTGTCTCAGACCCAGATTTTAACGTTGAAAAGCTTGATAAAGTTTCGAATAATCGAGTCAAAACGTTCCTTGATAAAATGCATGATGTTGTGATGTATGAAAAAGTGGTCACAGGAACATTGGAGTCTAAAACTGACACATTGGTGGACGATCTGCTTCGTATCGCCGACTTGAATGACTGGCCCTTGAAGTTAATGTAAGTAATTGTAGGAAAACACTGTTTGTGAGGTGCTTAATTTTGCTAAAAGTTTGTATCTATCAAAACCCAGAAATTATCCGCTATGTAGACTAGTTATTAAAGAAAACCAATATGTTTCAGCAGACCCCGAATTTGTGATTGGTAATCGAAAATTAAGTATGGTGGCTATAGAGGTCAGAATGTTTAGTATTTGTTCTTCTTATTGTTTAATAAACCGTATTTATATCCAAAAACCTTTTAACAGGACAAACATATCAAAAATGTTTGGAAACCAAACGGTTTCGGGGAAACACAAATTGCCGTACAGATTGTTGCCTGCGGAAATGAGAACATACGTGCCACTAGTAAAGAGGAATTTATTAATCAAACCATATTTGCTATGCGCGTCATCTCAACGTACGTGACATTCTACAAAGCAGTAATTCCTGCAGAATATTGGTCCGAATTTGATTGTGGTCTACCCAAAGTGGCATCAGTTAACGTTAAAAGATGGCCAGGGGAGAACGGAAAGCAGGAAGGTCTGGATTTAGTAGAACCAGATGGGAGACGAGAAGTGCTGGGAGCATTAATTAAAATTCGCCAATTTCTTCTGCGGAATGAACAACCTGGTACTACAATACAAAATGTGACGACGAATGATAATACAGACAGTGGTAAAGAAAAATCATCGAGTTAGTGCGGATTAATTATGCTACGCATGTCATCTATGAATAGGTCATAGATTTGTATTCGCATCTTTAGGAAAATTAACATGTATGCCTATAAAATTAATAAAAGCACGATTTTTTTTATCGTGTGCTACATTTTGCCTTAATGCATCCTATTGCTTGAACGTTACAAAAAAATAACGTACATATGATTCACTTCGTTTTACACGTGGGTAACAAATATAGGGTGTTTAAAGTTTAAGTTTACTCAATAAGACCCAATTCTCGAAGATGCTCTGGAATAACTATATATGGGTCTTCGTAGTACCAAACATACCTTAAAACAATCCAGTTTTCTTCGCACAATTCTTTCTTGAGTTGATCTCCTCCATCGATAAATCGGACTTATGTGGGTCATTTTTAGTGGAGCTAGGCTATCTTTTTCGATTAACGGGATACTCATACCATCGATTACAATTTTAGCACGACGAGTACGGGCTTCGGGAGTTTATTTTTGCTTCGCGTATACATAACCATTCTTGTCCCAATACCAGATCAAACGATGAATTTTTGCAAATTTGAAAGTCTATTAATTCAGTACAATCTAAGCTTCGCCACTTTCCTTTATAGTGAAACTGTAAATCTAAGCCTTTTATTTCTTCACCGATCAATTCATTGTCAGATAAACCTTCTAACCCATGATCTTCTTCGAGCCTTTCGAACAAGCTCTTGCTAATAGTATTGGATTTAGATTTTGTATCGATTAATGCTTTTACTGGGATTTTTCCCTCTACGAGTGCTTTTATGAACATTGGTAAATAATTATATTATATACTATATCTTTTGCCAGAAAAAATAACTAATATTTAATTATCTGCCTAAAGCCCTTGCCACGATCGATGTAATCCTTGATCAATGGCTCGAGCAAGACTATTTAATAAATTAATTGTTCTGAATCAGTCAATTCTGATGATACTCCAATTGCAGAAATAAGATCTGTTACATTTAATGTATCAGTCGAAAACCATTCTATTAGGTCCACCGGTAAAGATAACTCTTCGAGATACCCGTAATGGATCTCGAATAAGTGGAGGTAGATCAGAAACCGAGAAATCATCATCGAAATAATCTGAAATAAGTGGGGGCAGATCAGAATCTGAGAATTCGTCATCGGAATAATCTGGATGTTTAATTTTAATATTTGAATTGAGTTTCTTTATCACTTCTTCACTAATCCCTTTACATCCTTCTAAACTAAGATATTTCAAGTTATTACAGTTGCGGGCTATTTCCTCGACAGCTTTATTACTAATCGAACAGTTGCCAAGCTCAAGATGTCTAAGTTTTGGGCATGAGCGAGCAATTTCAGTGATACATCGATTAGTAAGACATATACATGAATTAAGACTCAGATGCTGTAGTTTCGGAGAATATCTTGCAATTTCTATAATTGGTATGTTAGAGAAACCAACACTTCGGTCAAGAATAAGAGTGTGTATATTTAGACATGAGCGTAGAATCACACTAATCAACGCATCTTTGATTTTTAAACCTTCTAACCTGATATATACCATCTTTGAACAATAGAGTGGCTTTATGTTTCTACACATAACTCTTTTAAAGTTTATCAATCGCCGAGTGAGAACCCGAGACATATTTAAGGCACGCCGACTCTGCTGATAATCTTCGTTGAAAAACTCAACGCGACGCCATAACTATCATCGCGAATTTTATAATTATATTCGGCTACGTCCTCGGCTTTATGCCCGCGGTGGTAAAAAGCGCAATAACCGCCATCACGGTTATTTTCGAGCTCTAGGTCAGTGATTACACAAAAAACAACAATGTCTTGCATTTCGGTAGTGTTTTGGGTGTCCATTTGCTTTTGCTAATATATTATTCGAGAGAAAATAATTCAAAATAAAAATTATTTCCGAAATATATTATTCGGGAGAACAATATTCAATTGAAAATTAATTCCGAAATATATTAACCAATACATATTATATAGTTGATCTATCGTTGTATCATAAAAATATGGCATTTTATTGCTGTTCATATATACTTAGGACCGGAGAAGTATGTAACCGGGGCTGTTATAGACCTGCAGGTTGTCAAGTCCACTGGAATTCTCCCAAACGCGTACCTTGTAAAGAATGTGGTAAACTGACTTTTTCTAAATATGGCGCTTGTGATGTCCATGCTAGAAAGCATCGAAAAGTGGAACAATACTACCGGAGATAATGACGCAAAATGGGGTTAAAGCAAATACATAGTGATATGACTCGAAGGGTCGCCCTGGTTTTAGACGCAAAGCATCCTCGCTCTATGGTACCATTGCGAGTCAGAAATTTTTTCATTTTTTTCAGGAACCAGTGACAAGAAATTTTTCGATGACAATTCAAGTAGGGTTTTCCGCCGTACGGCCGAGTTAGAAGCTTAGAAGCGTTTCTAGGCAACTGTCACCGGATCACCAGTATCACCAGCTTTTCGTAACTTTTCATATTTTTTCTTCTTTTTTTATTACGTTATTTCTCGGCGTTATTTATCAAAGAAAAGTTTAACTTTTTTCCTAGAATTTAACCTTTAACTAGAGAAACCAGAAACAAATATATAAAAGTGTTCAAAAAAGGGACGAAACAGCTTGAAACACCCAAAATGCATAGAAAAAGTGTCACTGGTTCTTGCACCAGTTAGGAATTTAACCAGAGAAACAAGTGACAAACATGTCCGCATATTTGACGTTAATTGAAAACATAAAAAGATATGATTGGAAATGAGACGTCAAGAACAGCGTGAGACTCGCACTATGAGGATGCTTTCGCATCTAAGCTCCGATGAAGAATACTATACAGCCGATGAAGAAATAAATGATATCATATTCGATTTATAATTGGGTATATTTCACTATGGTCGGAGAATGTTTCCAGATCAAATTGCACAAAGTTATATCACAAGTATCTCACTTGGTACAAAACTAATAATAAAAAACCGTTACATAAAACCATTTTCGGAAAAAAATTATCAGAAATCAGCATTAGTCGGATTCAAGTGCGAATAGGGGATGGAAAGAGAGAATGGCAATATATTCTTGATCGGTCTAAAATTATGAACAAGATTCATCAACTATTCGGTTCTCCATGAAGTCTGCTCCTATGTCCTACACCTAATGTTATAAATTTGAAGGGTAAGACCATTATTATTGAATAAGATCGCATTTGCTTTTAATGCAACAAAAAATTTGGCAACACAATCTCTTTCAATGGTTTCATCTACTTTTGAATTTAATTGCTTCATATATTTGATGTATAAAGTGAATGGATGTATTACTATGACCCAGTGGAATTCACTTTAACAAAGTCACCCGTTTCACAGAACTGTAAACGTGATAACCATTAAAAATTTTGATTATCATAGCAATATGCAACTTTATTCAGAGATTACATATGATCGTAATTCTTGTTTGCTGCATAATACACAGTAAAACTCGATAAGTCGGCCGCATAATTTATATTGTTTAAAGTACTTGATAATATAAATTATGCGGCCGACTTATCGAGTTTTACTGTGTATTTCTTATTCTCTTGTGCAACTTGCTTAAAGTTGCGATTCATTCCCTTGTTAATAGCTTCTGCTGATTATACTTTCTCACTTTTCTAGTTTTTCCACTTCTTCCTTTCTCTTCCTGTCAAAGCGTATAATAGAAGAAACAATATAACAGAATGAGAGATTGCTTTTATATAAAGTAACACAATAATAATGTGGAAGTTTTAGATCTTATTGATGACATTAAGATCGATGATTCTGATTAGTCAATTGTATAACGAACTTCGTTATATAATTTAAATTCGCCTAACGCTAAGTTTTATTGATATTGATCTATATGTAAATCTTCTTTTATCCGAATTAGTTTGTTAAAAGCGAGCTGGTTTCCGAAAATGTTTCGTTATAAGACGTCTTAGTTTGAGTTTGTTAAAATAAATGTTATTATTATTAATGTACTGTACATTAAGCCATGGAATTATTGCAATGTCTTCACTGCAACTCGGGTAAAAATTCCCGAAATAGGACAAAATATTTATATTATTAATAACCGTCGCTGTTGCGCAAAATTATGTCATTTCCGAAAACGCACTTCTATTAGCAATGCTGGACACGTGAAACATTAACTGGAAAACTCTATACCTATCGTCATCTAGTAAGACCCACAAATCAAAATTTGTTTATACTGGACAATAAAAGCTAATTCAGCAAGTGCTCCTTGTAGCTTGAAACATTTGACTAGCATGCTTGACTATACAAGATGAAACAAGAAACAGTGGATTTTATTGTTGTTTACTTCCTATTGTGTGAAAGCATGATATATTATTAGTCTCACGTCATATGGTGTAACATGATCATTAGACTACTGAAGCATTAACGTTTTCCCATTTTGTTTACTTACACTGGAACAGTTTATCGGATGTTTGCGATGAACAATACATTTTGTATAGTCTATCCAATTTTGGTTTTCATAAGGAAAAAGGAACAATTGCTGTTATGGAAGAACCACTATTTCCTCTCTTTGTACAGTCAGTCATTCACTTTGTCCCATTCGCTAACAAGGAAACTATGCAGGATTGTAAGTTGGGTTTGACACCATTGGCTAATCAAATTTGGAATTCCTGTTCGACCATTCGTGCATCGAGGTCATTGGTACTACTATTTTTGTTGAGCCGTTGTGGCAAAAAAAGAATTCGCAAATCCCAAACAATTGGTTCCTATTTGTTTCACTCCGAATAAAGCCGAGCTGATAAGCCGATGCTTTTTCTCTTATCGTATTTTTGTTTGCGGAAGTTATTACGTTTCTGTGTAATGACTAGAGATTAATTTTGGATATCAGAATTAAAAATGGTTATGAATACAGGAACGCCTTGGCAGACCACTAATATCGTTCATTGGCCACACACTCAAATATATAAACAAAAGGTCTCCCCAGCACGTTTCTCTTAACTGCCGTACATCGGATAGTTGTTGACAACTAATAAGTCCAGGCGACTACAAAGTACTCACGCTCTCTCTGCAACGGCAAATAGTGGACTGGATTCCCAATAACATTTGACTGTTAATAACATTCCAACTACATCATCACGTTCATTCTTACACACTATCAATCACACACAATGATTGCTACAAATCTCAGTACTCTTGTCTTCTATGTCGTCCTTCTTACGATGATGGTTATCGGTCTCATTACACCACACGCCGCTGCCTTTCCGATGCCTCTTATTCAGCTGGAAGATAACCCATTCGATGTACTCTCTAACAGTGCTATACCATGGAGCCAAATGAGTGAGGGGTCTCTCATCTAATGAACATAATTATTCATTCATAAAATATTTGTGATCGGAGGGTTCCTACAACAATACTTAATGACAAGACAAGGAACCACAAAAGTATCGAGATTTACACCTAATAATTCCATTATTCGTTATGACACAAATTTGGAAATGAACATTTCTACTTTTATCTCTTTATTGTAAAAAAAAAGAAAAGCGATGTAAAAACTGGAGTTTTGCTTCGCTATTGTTCTTTATTTATAATTTAGTTATTGAATTGTATAAATAAAGGATGGAGCCATCTCACATAATACAAACAAATATCATCGCACGCATTGTGTGTCTCATGCTTGATTGGTTATGACTCGTTTCACATGCTATATTAAGGGAATACGTAAACTGTTACTATGCGCCTATCGACTAACCATCGGTAGTTAGTAGTGAGAGGTCTTAGCGCGCGCATGCTAACGCCAAGTCTTCATTATGATCGATCATTCTTTGTGCCATTAAATGATGATATCTTATTTATCATTGCATAGAATGCGTTTCTTTAAAACTAGTATTTGTTGAGGCTAATTGTCTATCCTATCTATGACCGTTCTTATTAGTCTCTTCATTGGAAAACACTGTATTCAAACTATTACACAACTTTCTTCAAGGTTTGGCATGCATAAGTTATCTGCATCGACTATTGGTGGAATCAAGCTTTATAACGAACACCCCTTGTTTGTTGATTAGCTTTACCAATCATTTGAACGAGATATTGAAACTGAATCGTGCTGCCAAGAGTCGGCATGTCATTCGTTCTAGATGTTTGTCCTAAACGTTTGAGACTTGAGCATTTCAACATATCGACGTTCGAATCGCAATTGTGACATGACACAATTGCTTGGGAAAAAAAGTTTAGGATTAAGTAAAATTTCATCAAGGAACGACTGCAACCCACTACATTTAATCGACTAGGATTAATTGCAGTTTAGACTTTGAAAGATTCGGTGTTGTGGATTTGGATGTTACACAGACGATTGGATCGCGGTTCTAACTGTTGTAATTCAGACGCAAGAATGATGGAACTATTTTAGCGATCACCAAATGCAGTCTAGTTCAATTCATCCATATGGTACGCCGCACGCTCTATAAATGCTCAGAAACGAGTAAAGTGTTTTTGATGTAGTAAGCTTTGACACTCCGAGATGCATGCGCTTCGCTTGATTCGTTTCGTATCGAGAAGTTCCCCACAGCAAATCAGATATTACACACCGCTGGGGAGGTATGTGACAAATGGCGATACTGTAGCAGATAGAAAATATCTATCACGAACTGATTTTATGTAAAATAAAGCCATATGTCTGGCAACAATCCAGAAACACTAGAGAAAGGAAAGGAGAAAGTTCTCAAAGGTAAAAGCGAATTTTCATACATTCATCCGGAGATCGCGAGAACATAGCAACAATTAATGAGCGGAATTGCATTTGAGAAAGTGGAAAAAACAATAATATCAACAAGAGTGGGGTTATTGAAAAAGAAACTTTCTTTTTTAGACGATATAAGAGCCATCAAACACGCTCCAGGATGGAAGGAGGAGCTTGCCTCTGAAAGTGAAGCCGCAGTAAGTGCTTACACATCAGATATAGCGGAGTGTGTGTCGAGATGATCGCATACTGAAAATTGTTATTCTTACTGTTCGTTCTAGGTGAAAGCAGATCGCGGCCCGGATCCAGATTCTGTCAAGGTTCTCCAAGACGAGACTATCAGGGCAATGCATTCATCCAAGAACGAGGCTGATAAAGACACTGTCGTTATTGAGAGAGTGATCGAAGAAGTCGAAATTCGAAAGACCGCGTAGGAAACCGAGCAACTGACGTTTAACATATGCGTTCGGGTTACGATAAAAGACTGGCGTTTTCAAATTCTGGATTCAATTAACCAACGACCAGATGATTCAGGAGCGAATATGATTCAGCAGTTTGGAATTGACCTCTAGTAAAGTACAGAGTCGATGAGCGCGATGAAATGTGTGACTGTCAATAATATGTCGAATGAACACAAAGAAAAACAATCAGTAGAATGAACTAAATAAATGAATTTTTAAACTTATGGATTTAGTATTAGACTAAACAGCCATATTGTTTGGCCGCAACTTTTGAAAATAAAAGTCCATCAACTACATTTGATTTTAACATATTGGTTATTCCAAGTCACATCGATGCTTGGCTATTAGAGTCGACACCCTCCCTGTTCTCATTCTATTTAGTTTCTGGATTTGGTGCACTGGAAGCTAAACATGTTGTGTATACATATAATGTGATGAGAAATGTCAAAACACTTGATGCTTAAATCGACCAAAGGGTTTTCCATTTGGTTCATTGTTTGGTTCGGAAACAACAGGAAACTACAGGAGTAGTTCTTTCAGCCTCAACAATTTGTACGCACTAACATGAAGAACATAGTCGAGGAGTTGTATTCGAAAAGAGCCGCATATGCGGGAGATATTCATATTCAGCCTGCGGCGGAAGTTATCAATATGGGATAGTATACCGCACAATTATCCGAATGTAGTTAGAAGTCTCTAAATGAGGTTATGGTGAGAAACGCTATTTAGTGTCGGGTTACGGACATTAAATAATAGTATCGATAGATGAATTGTTAAAAGTGTTCCGGAGCGAGAAAATTGTATATTAATATAGGTCTGATAATTTTTTTCCAGACTGGCCTTTCTTAGAATAGATGTCAAATTAGTGATTGGTAAACATGTGATTTGTGAGATTGTAATGGTGTACACGTATTAATATTGATTAGATGTCAACCCAAACTCTTATCTTTGGTGCGGAACTGTTATCCCCGTCATTTTTGCGAAATAAAAATAAGTCTGCGGAAGTAAACGCCGAAAAAGGATACAGCCCTTTCAATTGATATGGGCTTTAAAGAAAGATGACCAATCATTTACGCATTTTATGCCGGAATTATTATGGCCCTGCCCACTCGCGCACTTATTTGTACCACAAGATGTGTATCAAAATTTTTTAAAAAAGGTTTTCTTCCACCCTCTCATCTTATTGTTCATAGATTCTACACAAAAACAATGTCAAACGACACAAAAATATATATTTCGTATAATCAAGTACATGAAATGATAAAAAATGCGGTTGCCAGATATCGAATAGGTCAAGAATTTCAACCCGATTTAATAATTGCTATTGGAGGAGGTGGCTTTATACCTTCGAGAATTTTGGTGCGTGAGAAACGTGCTCATGTCGGATGATGTATAGTATAAATGGGGACATCTAGAGAGGTTGCTTAGTTTGATATTGTCAGACCCAAAGCTTGTGCTTATGAGATATTCAAGTTTTCCGATATCACTTGGAGTATTCTGAGCATCACATTTACGCCTTTTTTAATTGCTCATTTCAATCCAGCGCACATTCATCAAACGCCAAGGTAACAAGAATATTCTCATCCAAGCGATAGGTCTATCGTTATACGAAGACATCCACGATATATCCGATAATTCTGCTGTGGCACTAGCTAAAGCCGCCAATCAAGTGATAAAAACCCAATGGCTATCATTCGGACCTCCGGTCGCTACTACACTTGTCGGTAAAAACATTTTAATCGTAGACGAGGTTGATGATACCCGAACAACTCTCTCGTATGCTGTACAGGAGCTGCGTAAAGACATCGCAGAACAAGAGAAAAAGTTTATAAAAGAACATCCGGGTAAGAAAGTACCTGAGACTAGGCTCGGTATATTCGTATTGCATAACAAGAAGAAGGAGAAGAAAATGCAATTGCCTGACGAGAGTATCGTCAGGGCGGGAAGGTATTGGGCCGCAGCCGAAACCGAAGATAGGTGGATTGTATATCCATGGGAGGCAATCGATATCGAAGAGCATACGCAGAAGAGTATGGCTAATAAAATTGTATAATTGGAAAAGGGAAATTACGCGAATTTCATATAGATAAGATGGTAGATGCCTATATCAAAGGCAAGGTATTTAGGTAGTTGCTGATAATTAAGTTTATATTGATTCTCGAGTGATTCACTGTTTGCTAATGATTATATAAATGAACACAATGGCGCTTATTAATTCTTCGCTTGGTCATGGTTATATGTCAATCGAATGTCGTTTATGATAATTATATCGTAATCTTTTTATTCACAAATTCGAGTAAATCCAACCATTAATGATTCAAAGATGTACAAGCGCTCATTTACAAGCTCGTTCCTGTTTCTAAGTTTGGGTTTGTATATATAAGCATTATCTATTCTTAACTTTGTAGTCTTCTAAGTCTGATCGATCTTATCTTACGTAGTCTTCTTTTCATCAGTTTCGCTCTTTTCATCAGTTTCGCTCTTATCATCAGTTTCGCTCTTATCATCAGTTTCGCTCTTCTCATCTGATTCGCCCTTCTCATCTTTCTCATCCGTTTCGTTCTTCTCACCTAATGCGCCCTTCTCATCGCCAAATTCATTATTTCCATGCTGGGTCCGATCAGGAACAAAATCTGCTGACTCGGGTCTTTCGGCATTACATTTGAAGCAAACGAGTCGCATGGAATAATTGTAAAATCCACAAGAACAGAGCCAATCACCCCCTGAAATTTTCCTTTCAGCAGGTTTATGATTACACCTGAAGCATGTTATACGATTGGCAAAGTTATGCGCTTGACATTCAGAACATATCCAGTCACCGGGACGGAAAACTTGTAGTGAATGCTTTTGTATACGGAGCTGCAAGTTGAATGTAAGCGTGAGACAAAGATATAGTAACAAGTTGCTGCTATTTACGTGATCTTGTATATTCTTACGGTATTTTTGATTTGTATCACGTTTCTTTGTCGAGTAGGTAAAGACTGGATGGATGCGAGTCGTGTGGAAAAAAACCGGGCACGAGACAGTAAGGAGAAATTATTACACCTGAGGCTAAGACGTCTGATAATAGAGTTTATCATTGCGTTGCCCAAAATATTTAGATAACACTGATCCTCAAATAAACGTCACCAGCGTGTCTCAACGATGCGAGCAAAGAGAGTGAGTTGATCTGAATTAAAAAAAAAATTTTTTAAAAATTTTTGACCATTGCCTTTCATTGGTCAAAGCTAGTATTACGCTGTACCACGTATAAATTCTACGCGAGAATTACACAAGACGTTTGCTATCGGTGCATTTTATAATTAACAAATTGGCAAGAAGTTGATAAGATCATTGTTTGTACGAAAATTAAATGGAGCGAGGTAACTGCCAGCATATTGACTATTGGCGAAGTAAGCCAACTTTGGTCGGTAAAATAGAAGTTACCTCTTGCTAACATGATTACTGGATAGCAATTTGTGTCAAAATTTTTGAAAATCCAATGCTACCGTCGTATCAAAGTCTTTATTTTCGCCATTATTAGCCTCAAATGCGATAATATTTACCCAACAAACTTGTTCAGAAAGACCAACGTCATCTGGTGTTTGTAATATTAATATTGGTTCGGTAAAGTACAATGTGGGACAGAAATTTTGGTTTGATCATGTGATGCCTGACTATTTGTAGTAAATAATACTACTAACGCTAATACGCGTATCGCGTCCTGTAAATTATCACCTGTGAAATCAAGGAATACAATCTCATCCTTCACCTGGACAGTCAAACATGTTTTGCTAAAAAGATAAAAGACATAGTAGTGTTATATGTAAAGTAAGTCAATCGTCTTAAAAAATCACCGGATCCCACTATCTCATTTCGGAAGATGATAATGATATCAACACATCTTGGGAGCCTGGGCTATAAAAATGCGGGCCACCCAAATGCTTAGGGAGATAGGCGTATGCTCATCTTAATGATGACGGGCGGTTTACATATGAAACTGCATTTCAATTATGTCTGTGAGTGAGCTTTGGTTGTTCGAGATCTGCTCAATGACATTATCAATGGACTCTGCTTTTCAGTAGAAATTGCATCTCTGCAAAGCTTGTTAGTGTATATAAATGTTCAATAATTAACTGTCTGTATTATATTAGAAATCTTAACAAGTGTGAAGGCTCCTGCCAGTCCGTCCTAACCCAAAAAATTGTATAAAAAAAAGCGCCTAGATCACCTCACTCTTATCCTCACACAACGACTAATATATGATATGGGGAACTTATGGGTGCGATACAAAAATAATCGAGATTTTCCATCATGGTGGGATAACTTCAAAAGCAGTTGGAGAGAAAACAAATTAATAGCATCAATGCATATCATATTGATGTAAATTCTTGGATATGTTCGTGCCCAGCCTTTAAATATGCTCATTTTTTGTTATCGATTGGCCGTCAAATCCTATTCAGTCAGCAGAAAACCTAAGGGTCTTTGAAAGGTTGTGGAGATCGTTTAAACTGTACGAGTTTGCAGATAAGCAAGTCAGAACTGGAACGCTATTCGATATTTGAACAAGGAGACTGCTTGATTGAGGGCAAACCTAAATTCAGATTGTTTCGGATTTTTAACTCGCACCAATAACAACAAACAATTACAACAAGACATCGGTCATGAGAAGAAACACCTTCAATAAAACTATGTGGAAGACTTTCAACATTCTGAAACTCTTTTTTAAGAAGCCATGGTCTTGATGAATTAAGGTGTTTATGGTAGAATAGTGAGAATTCAATAGTAATAGTGAAAGACGTTGTACGGGCGATTATTGAAAGTAACGGTGAATGATTCCTTGTAAATAAAATTTGTACATGTTATAGGCTTTTAAATAAGTATTTGAATACTATTTTACTTGCTCATTATAGTTTAGTAGCACGTAACTATTCTAGTTCAGGATAGCTTTCCCAACGTCTCAATAAAAGACATCTCAAAAGTTCTTTTATTGGATATCTCACTGGTTCAATAAATACATGCAATGATATAACATATTTCATATATACTTCAAATGTTCCTTCATATAACCCGTGTTATATATTTGATAATAAAATTCGCCCCCGATTACCATGAATATAAATATCCACTTGATTCTGCCCATTTATGGCTATAACACAAGTGACAACACCTTTTTCTCGCACAATACATCACTCCATGCTCAAATTCCATTCTTGCTTGTAATGTCCACGTATACTCCCAATCTCTAATTAAACCCTTTACAGCTTGCCAGAACGTATCACTACTCTTAGCTATAGTAGTTGCAGACCCTAAATAGAAAAACTTGAATACTTCCGCATGTCTTTTCGTTACATTTTTAGATAGCCAATTGTAGAAATGTTCATCCAATGACAGGCTACCAAGTACAATATAACTTCTGTCTGGATTTTGATGAGAAATATGAAGTATTCTCAAATTCGGGCATCTCTCCACAACAAGAGGAAGCAATGGACTAAATGGAGGTATTTGATCGGCCAATCGCAAATTGAAAAAGTTATCCGGAACAAGAATGTCTATGCACGAAATAAATGGATCAATAGCCATATAGATTGTCCTGAACAGAAATCGTTCTATGCGATGCTCCGAATATAGATTCAAACGTATTCTCAAAGTGTAGTCGCGCAAATCAGGATGAGAGAAGTTCTCGAGGAATACTTGTCGCCACCATGAGCACACTTGTAACAGATGGAAGCGAGATAACCCATCAGCAAATATCCATATAAGTATTAGTAATTCAACCGGCAGACACTGAGCTACGGATAGAGTCGATACGTGGCGACGATCAATGTTTTGAGCAAGTTGGGTCGGATGACTGATCGAGTGGGTTGATTGAGTGGCTGGCTCGTTGAATTGATTCAATTCAGTGGATAACTACTTTAAAGGAGGAGTAGCAAAAATAAGAGTAGAGATTGAACGTGAATATGGAGATAACGAATTATGTTGCGACGTAGCTTATCACTTATTCACCATTCCCCATTCTCACTCTACTTTGATTTACCGCTGAATTTAGTCTCACCGAATTGTCAAATTCTCGTTCTCGACGTGGTAGCAACCGACTGTAGGTACGAGAGGTTGTTCTCATTATAACGCAAAAGATTGCTGGGAAAACAAGCTAAACAGGCAAATTACAAGTTTAATGGTGTGACATGTGATTGTGAGAATGCCACAAGCACGTGTTTTTAATGTGAGACGTAACATCCACAGCTTATCGCTTTCTGCCTTTTCCCGTCCAAATTAATTATGGGTCTCGAAACACTCACAGATTCGTCTGCACGGATACGAGCTAACGAATTGATAACTCAGAAAGATTCGATAGAGAATGAGATTAGAGAGCAGGAACAGATTCTCAAGGGGGTAAGATTAAGATTGACCGGAAAAATGATTAGTTTTCTCGCCGACACTTGGATTGGCCGACTTTTATACGAGAAATCGACATGTCTGTATTGATACTTTTAATCTTTTCATTAGCAAGGTGTAGGAATGTCAGAACCTTTGGTTGACCGATCTGGCTTTCCACGCGATGACGTAGACCTCGTTGTTGTGCGCACGGCCAGAGCACGCATTATAGCATTACGTAATGATCATAAAGATGTGATGAACGAGATCGAGAAAATGTTGCATATCATACACGCGGAAACCAAAGCAAAGACAATAGTAAAGGAAGAGACAAAGACGCATGGTATGTACCGCTGATCTGAGAAATGAGTGTTTTGATGAAGAAAGAGAGGTGGTGTGGCTTACGTAGTATTTGCATGTGTAGATCGAGCAATTGCTTTCGCTCTTGTCAACGCAGTCGCACCTGACTCACCGGCGAGTGAGGCGGTGAGCATTAATATTAATTTAAAAAAGTCTAGTAGAGTCACTTTTAACAGTTTATTTCTTCGTTTCGTAGGGCCTACAACGAAACGACAAAATTATAAGATTTGGACATTTGCATGCTGATAATCATCAGGCATTACAAGCAGTGAATTCGCTAGTATCGGGTAGCGAAAATGTGAGCACATTACAATATGTGTGATAGTTATATATAGACACATTCACCCCATATTCCTAACAACCGATCGAATTTTACAGGAATCAATTGATGTTACGATCGAGCGAGGTGATGAAGGACGACTGGTATTAAAATTGACTCCAAAGCGAGGTTGGGGTGGACGAGGATTATTAGGGTCAGTAAAGAGACGTCAAATGGTATACGTTTACGTGTGTATAACGATGAATTTTCCGCTAACGTTCATTCTCATCCCACAGCTGTCATATAATTCCAATTAAAGGAGCAAAATAAAAGTTTATTTTGGTGAGGTTATATTTGGTCTTGAACAATAATATCAACTGGTTTTACCATCAAAAATACATGTCCATCAAATTTATGTAAAAAGAAAATCCCCATAATACGCAAAGAAAATTAAGTACAAAGAATAAAATACGCGTCAAGTCATGAATTTTCTAATGACTCAACCGGCTGCGCTTGAATGAAAATACATTTTAGCCATTGTCCACGTTTACAAGGGTGTAGGTAGGGAGGTTTAACTTAGAAGCAGGTATTATAAAGAAAAAGTACGAATACAGAAAAGTTCAAATGGTTAATCAAAACTAAAAAAGATAAACAATGATCAAATGTCATAATCCATTCACTGTCAATTCGACGTGACTCGGGTCACATCCCATTTTACTCTCTCTCACTCTCTCAATTTCCCATTGCATCCAATGTACGCTATTATTCACGTCGAAATATTTCCATTGACTAACATGTACAATTGGCAGCACTCGGTTGAGGCTTTGCCTGCGATAGATTTACGCCGTTCTGGATTGTAGAGGTCTTTCGTGGTAATAGGTCGGGAGTATCCAGAATCTACAAAAAATATATGTATACAAGAGATAATAAATAATAGAGATTTTTTGCACACAAATAAACCCGCCTCGTTATATTCATCCGTTCTTACTTTTTGTACGAGTTGCTCAAATACTTCTTCCACTCCAACACGTGTTTTAGCACTGCATTCAGTGAACAAGGCGTTTGTTTTGTGTGCATACGCTTCACCTTCCTTTCTGGAAATAACACGTATGTGTTCCTACAAACACGGATCACATTAATACGCTACGTATACCCGACGATGCACAGAACCTCGACGTCGATGATGAATAATAATATTTACTTGATCAACTTTGTTGCCAACGATTATCTTGACTATATCTGTTCTAGGACAATATGTACTCAGTTCAACGAGCCAGTTGTTCAATTGTTCGAAAGTCTCTCGATTGCTTACATCGTAAACTGAAAAGAGTAATGATGGTGATGAGTAGCGGTGGAACTGAATAAATTTCATGCTTGTCAATATCTACTTTGTTTATACCTAGAATGACTCCCTGTGCACCTCGATAATATGTTGACGTAAGTGTCCGGAATCTCTCTTGTCCCGCCGTGTCCTATTTCAGCATGTAATAACTGCGATTGTGAATATATGTAATTACCGAGTATCGCGGATTGTAACTGGTGAACTTACCCAAATCGTTAATTTGTATTTCTTATTATTGAGTGATATTATTTTCACTTTAAAGTCGACTCCTAAAGCGGGAAAAGCAGGAATCGGTGGAAGAAAAGCGCACAACGTGAGTGGTACAATTGGTACAAGTGAGCTACATGTCGATATCCATATGATTGTGCGTATCATTGAGTACACGTCAAAGGGAGGAGTATGAATCGCTGGTAAAGTATAAGACTTTGGAACAAGTATGTTGTTATAGCTACCTACTTATAATAATACCCTTGTTTGATCTATATGTATTATAGCATTCTTTCTATTCTTCCCAGGTAATTCTCGTACAAATTTCTCATACATCAGTATTGCCTACCTATAGTAGCAGACACTTCGTCAGACAGGAATTGATCTTCAGTGAACCTCAGCAGTAAAGAAGATTTGCCGACATTCGAGTTGCCGACAAGAAGGATCTTTAATGTTGCTTCTGTATCGTCTATTGGTCGTTTAGGTGTTAGAGACATAATTTATGGGTTGAAAAAGTAGGGTGAAATAAAGGATATGAACGTTCTAAACTACAAAAACTCTGAGAGATCGCTGTGGGTTATATATAGCGAAAAGTGCTAGACAATCAATGTGTGAATTCTGTTGCGTCTGCCATATCGTATCAATGTCGTCATTGTTATCAATCGCGGCACTGATTGGTTACATTTTTGCCGAAAAGAAAGCGGGCTTCAAAACCATTTTGCCATGATTTGGCTGAATCCTATTCGCTATTCAACGGAATATATAAAGAAGATTGGCCTTCAGGACAAAGATTGAAATCTCAAACTACAAAGGTTAAAGAGTATGATTTGTCCAAAAGAGAGTGTGATATGATAGTGTTACCAATCGCCATGATCGCGCGAAACAATGAGGAATATCATATTACGTACTCTCGAGGATTGGAGATTTTCATCAATTAAATCCATTTTGAAACTGCTTGGTCAAAAGATCACATGCTTTTTTGTGAACCAATATGCAAAAGGGGGGGATAATCGTACTCATCGATCAAGACGATGCAAGCTGCATCGAATTTTTACGCAGTTTCAACGCAATTTATTTTTTTAAGCTGTAACTGATTCACTTACTAAGAGAGTAGTAGCCAGAATTATATTCTGACAAGCGACAATCACATAACCATGACGCAGTAACCGATTGTACGCCGACGTCAGCAATTGAAAGGTTAGTCTCAATTACGCAATAAAATTGCGCGTTTTTGTTTCACAGAAGACAATACGAATTTGCATATTGATAAAAAAAACTATTTCGCAATGTTCGCTAAACTTTATTGTGAAAGGGTGTGTTGAGAAAATGTGTGAGAAAACATGCCGTAGCGTGTTGTGATAATAAATAAGACACTACGGTTGGTAGTGAAATTTCGTCATGATTAGTAATCGGGTTCAATTGCGACCAAGGATTTATTATTAATAATTGTTTTAGTACTTGTGCTAAACAAAAGTGTTTATTGCTTAGTATTAGGAGAGCTAAAATAAGCCGGATTAAGCAGAAAAGAATAGTTTGTCTATTTAATTAGATGCAGGTGTATTACAAAATTTTTATATCTGTACGTTTCTGGGCCCAGACTGTTGGATGGGTTTTTTAGCAACTCTGAATATTTTCGTGCAGGTAGACTTGAGCAATCTAGCTAATACGTTTAAGATTATTATCTCTCAATTTTTTGATATAATTATAGATGGTGTTGAGTGAAATACCATTTTGTACATAAATTTTGTCTGGCATTTCAAATGCTTTGTTTCACAATTGTAATAGAATCAGACATTGTGCTTTTCTTTTGAAGGAAGCATTGCTGTAAAGATGACATCGCTAAATACGTTAAATTGTAGCCCAAAACATTAGCTTGGTTTTGTATTTCAGACGTTGCAAACTGCATGCGTACATAGCGCGCTAAGTGTATTTATGTTGGACAACTATAAAAAAACCGTTGATAAAGGATTGCCCTGAAAAAATTGAGGAAGATAGCAGAACATCCAGACTGTATTGTAATTAATCTCGTAAACTTAATGTCTAGACGTTGTCAGAGTGTAATAAAGAAAGAATTAATTTTAACACAATATGTGGAGTTTTACAGGTACTTTTGGATAGCTAGTTGCAATGCAACATAATTTTTTTTATAATTTGTAACATACTATGTTTACAGTAAAGGTTTCTACCTTGCAATAGAAGCACGCCTGCACATTTTAGCTACGTTCTCATTGGCACACGTGTGTATGTGTAAGCAGAGCCACTAATATCTCCCGGTCAAATCGAGCGGAGCAATTTTATCGACTGACGGACAAAAGGCAACCAGTGTAATTGCAAAGATTCTAGCCGAGAATGTGCGTTTGCCTAATTAGGCATTCTAGTATATTATGAACAACGGGCAACTACAACGAAATAATGTCGCCAAACAATATCTTTTTTTTTTAAAATAAATAAATACAAAACTGTCAATTTTTACTCAAAAGATGCGGGTAACTCTTTTTTGAGGATTCTGTTGCTAAATAACATAATTGTAAAGATTACTTAATAAATAATATGAAGCTTAATTAAGACAATAAAGTTACAAAACTGTTGGCGAACAAAATGTACTCGTCAAAAATTCGAAAACTGTGAACAATCATACGACCAAAAGAACAATATTTTCATTAACCAATTTACGTGCTGCTTTTACGGTAAGAAATTTTTCATGCTCAAAGAATAAAACTGGATGGATGAAGAAAAAAAGCAAACGTAAACCAAAACGATAAACATAAATACAAAAAATTAATAATAGTAATAATAAAATTATTTATAATAGTAAATTTGTACCAAACAAAGCTGTTGAAGACATACCTTGAGTTTTGATGATATTTTGCTACTCAAATAACATAAATGATAATTTATTTTGTGGACAATATTTGTTACTTTTATTATAGAATATAACTGTCTTGAAAACATAGATAATAATCACAACAAAAGCATTAGAGCAATTGAATGGGACGAAAACTGGGACCCAACCCATTGACAAACAGTGGCTCATCAGTAAAGGCTTTGAATTGCTTTCCTTTACATTTTGTTTTTTTCTCAAGTCTATTACAAGTTGCTGTTTGTTAGTTTTTTCTTGGCAAATTTCATAATTTAGATACTCCTCGAGAATTTTGGTAAATTGGTTTTAAAATCATTTGGAGCAATTTTCCTGTTGCTTTTTCATATTCAGCGGAGCCATTATTATTATATTCGTTATTTATATTTATCATATACGGGTAGTCCTATATATATTTTTTATCATTTTCATAATAAGTCGAGGCATCAATGAGTTAGGTACGAGTAGTTCTTAAGTTCAGAATAAATCGAGTTTTACAAAGTTTTTATTTTGGTATTCTAAGTTGATTGTCTCAAAGTTCCAAGCTTGAGAACTCTCCCGGTGCACGTGTTAATCTTATAGAAACGGCGGGATGAGCAAATTACGAGATGTGACTCCAAGTATTGTCCAGCTCAAATACAATGGAAAGCCCAATGAAGCAAGTATTTATTGTAAAGATGCATGATCTCTATATTATACCACCATCCCATTTAACAAACAATGCAATTGATCATCTCCTTTTGTTGCAAGTAACATTAGAGATGACCACCATTGTTTCTCTTCTTTTGTGGTGAAGCATTGGGTGGATTATCACTTGGTGAACGCACTACTTTATAGAAACTAGCCATATGTTCTCGATGATATATCGTAATTCTTATCTGCATGAAAATATTATAGTGAGTACATAATACTTACATTAAAAACTGTCATAAAATATTACCTTGAATTTGACAATCATTTCTATTATTTTTGGTATTCTCATCAGGCACTCATTTGTTGTTGGTAATATGAAATCATCATAATTCTTAACCACAAACATATTATTAATGCAATGCATGCTCAAGAAATTAAAATTTTTTCCTAATTAAATTGATTAAGTTATAATTAATGATCTAATGTAATCAGTATCAGTGCAAAACTTGTTCACATTTACCATGGACTAGTACAGCAAAAGTTGATAATTGTTGTGAAGTTTCAATATCGAGATGTGCACGTTGATTCCACAATGATAGTGACATTGCTATGGTTCGTGGAGAAATACAGCTAGTCAGCATAATGTTTGAACTAAATGATGGGTAATAAAAGGCATACCTTTATATAACTTCTCTAACTCAATATTCCTATCAGTTATGTCTTTGTTAAAGGCGTTGCCTACGACCTCAAGAAATCCGATCTGATATTTTTTTCCATGTATTATCATGTTGATCACACCATCATGTTTAATTCCAAGCTTTGACCGCTCCTTATCTTCCTTAGTATCATTCCGTTGCATTTTTTGTATTTCGTTCTCAATTTCTCCGGTTTCAAGCCATATAGAACGTTCAGTCATTTCAAATACCCCTGCAAGCAGAGGATTCACGATTTCCGAGCGATAACGAAGCTCACAGGCTTCTTTATCAAATAGAGCACCTCTATTACGTAGAAATTGTCGAGTCCTGATGTAGGAAAAATAAGTTATAATGACAGGACAGGGGGAAAATACCAAAAAACTTGTTATGAAAAACTTACAAATCAATAAATATTCTCTGACACCAAATCAATTCATCATCACGTTTATAAGAAAAATCACCATAGGGAGGTTTACTGAACATTGTAATAAGCTCCTCGTGATCAACATCCAATAATTCGTCAAAATGATCTACTATTATCTTATGGTACTTATCCACAAGTTCTTTCAGTTGAGATACATTCCATCTTTCTTCGACTGTTTTTTTGATATTGGCTTCAACCTAATTAATTATTATAAGTCAATAATTCATAATTTACCCAATCCAAAACCACGTTACCTTTTTCCATTTATTCGCTAACGTTATCATTTGATCGGGGAATGTATTGTAGAGTTCTTCCGTATATGGAAATTGTCTATCGAAGAGGGAAACAACCTTGTATGTAGTAGCCAAACGATTCTTATTCTCTAAATTTTCCAGTACACTTGATGACTCCTCACTTTCAATGGGGGGATATTGAATGTCAGTTGATGACTCCTCACTTCCAACGGTAGATAAATCCGAAAAAGAATCACTATCAGACTGAAAGTCTTCGGCTGTACTCTTCAATTTTTTTTTTGGATTATCGTCATCATAAAGTTTCATAATTTTGTCTCCTTGACTGGTTGTAGACTTATCAAAAATGTCGACCGAGCGTAAATCGACCTTGCGTTTGATTCTATTCTATTACAGAAACAAAGTGTATTATCAGTTAAGTTCTTTGTAAACGAAGAACTAACTTTCCTTACCCGTTTCTCCTCAATCAGTCTTGAGCTTTGCATATTCTCGATTTGCACCCACAAATTTCTGCTCGCTTTTTCATTTTGTAGCTGCAATAAAAAAAATAAGAAATGCAATAAGAATCTATTTCATAAAATATCGGTAGCGTAGGACGATGGAAGGTGGGGAACGTCACCCCATACTCCGTGTATTATCACGAGAACGTCACTCGCCGAAGCTCCTTCAAATCGCCCTACGCTTAAGACGAGGGCGGGGAACGTCACCCCATACTCCATGAATACACTGTACTCTTACGGGAACGTCACCCGCTGGAGCTCCCACGTCTCTTGCAGGAACGTCACCTGCACTTTCTTTATATACACATAACCTTTTCGATAATCGTTTCGTCAGATATCAATTCTTGCGCAATTAACATAAATCGTTTCTTCCATCTGCCGTTTTGAATCGACCATGATTCGTTGTCAGCTTGTTCAATTATTAACGGTTTATTTTTATACAAGAAATTATTATAGGATAGTTTAGCAGGACGCGTAGCCTCGAAATATGCTCTGATTTCTGTTTATAGAATGAGAATTATTTAAAGATGGGTAAGAAAGTCAGACCTCATAGATGGATACTGTCATCACCTTTCTCGAAAGACATTCTGCTTAAAAAATAGCTGAGTATGAGAACCGTAACTGGGTTATAAGCGGGCTTTTTCTGTGATTGGACGATTCTTTGATGAAATTTTATTGGTTGATATTAATATGGATTACGATTAAATTTTTTATGATCCGGCGCAAAAAAGCTAATCATTTGAGCATACAAATCAAATAAAATGTAAGGAAAATGTCGAACTTCAAATATTCGTAACAAACTTAATCATTTATCTTTCCCATGGAAGACCTAAATAGAGAGCGAAGCTCTTTAGCCAATAACGAAAAACGAATGATTATTCGCGTTTACCAATACTTTTTAAATACTCGACAGTGCCAGACGCAACGTCCAGACTTACCACTACGCAAGAAGGTTGCTTCGGTCCTCGGAATTGGTGAGGCAGGCAACCCTTGCGCGAGTGGTTGCTGAACGTAATAGCAGTGAAAATGAAAAATTCTCAGAGCGTTTAGAGCGAAGAATGCATGGGAAAAGCCCGATCACAATGTTGTTGATCTCATACACAGGGTTGTTATGACTGCAAACACTTTTGGTTCCCCACTCTCAACACGTTTATTACGACAAAAACTAGAAGAGCATGGCCATCTACTCTCAAAAGGACAGGTAATTATTGGGTTCCATAGTGGATTTAACGTACAGGGGGGTATCAAAAGTATTGCACGCTTTTATTTTTGCAACAAAAAAATTTTTTATTAAGACAACAGTTAATTTTATTTTATATTCGGAATTAGTACTTTAGTATTTTGTATGTCCTCCATTAGCAGCGATCACAGCCTGAATTCTATTTGGCATTGATCGCACCAAG